TCTGCCTCTATTTATAAGGCGAAGTGATAACACCGCAAGTGCGGGAATCGAGGAGCTCAAAAATGGATAATTACTAATGGTGTCGCCTCGATGACTGAATACACATTAATGAAGGTAATCTTCAGCTTCAACGGATAGATGACGTCAGGGCGGTTTATCATGACCCTGGAATATGACGTCATGACGGTTTACAAGATCAAAGTGAAGATGCAAGGGAGGAATTTTTCTAAGTATTGAAGATTGACATGAACAAGTTCAAACCAATCTGGGGCCTAATGTCGGGGATATTACTACTCGACGTAAACCGGCCAGGAGTAGCCGGATTAGCTTTACGAAGATTAGAAGCCCATGAAGACGGAAGAATGATGGCGCATTATGAAGGCCCAGGGGCGAGTTAAGGCCTGTAGATGTAAACCGACCTAATTATGTAACTTGCGTTGTAAGATAGGAAGTGTAGAGACCGAACCGGACACGTTTATGATTCGGCTTCGGGACTCTGTAAACCGGCAATCATCAACCTGTGTATATAAAGGGACGACCCGGCAGCGGTTGAGAGACAGACAACAAACTCGAGAGCCAGACAAAGCGGATTCGCTCCCTGGCCTTCGAAACACAAGCAATACCAATCACAACTAGACGTAGGCTTTTACCTTCACAGAAGGGTTCGAACTAGTATAAATTTCCCGTGTCCCCTTGTCCGATTTAACCCTTTTAAGCTAACCCGTTGCGATGGCTCCGCGACGAAGTCCTTTCACAAGAACAGCTGCCGTGACAAACCCATGACAAAAAGGTCTGCCCCAAAATGGGTGTCCACGTTGGAGGCATGAAAATGTTCATAACGTCCGTTCTTTACATGCAAAAAAGATTTGGTGAGCCGTGTTGACGATGCTCGGATTGACTGATAGATGGCACGTCCGGCATTTCATTTCGGTCACCTTTTTTCTTTTTTCTGAACTCGTTTCACTCAGCCGACGGTAAGCTAAAAGCTGCACCACATGTTCCCTTGTGTGTGCCCCGTTTCATATACTTCCGGTCACGGGTAGTACGAAGGGGGAAAAGACTGCATTATCTGCTGTGTCCAGTCTTCCTGTTGGACATGGTAACTACGAGTCGGAGAGCCTGGTCACACGTGATAGCCGTAATAATGCGCGTGGGCGAGCGAAGGCGGTCCTAGGTTGGCACTAGTAGACAGCAGTTGACAGTGGAGAGAGATAGGTGGATGGCGATCACGTGATCAAGCTCTTTACGATGGTTGTGAGATGGCAACAGCACCCTGGGTCCATGGCCATCCACCATTCAAAGAGAAAAATGAGTGGGAGAGAAAGAGGGATGGTGAACGAGACATGGAATCTCCACGTGAACCACTCGTTAGAACGTTAGAACGTCAACAGCCGGATTTAACAAATACGGTCTCCTAAAAGTACGCGGATGCGTATAGCGTTGGACGATCCCTCATGCGTCCTGTCGGACAACCACACTTCTGATATTGAAATCCTTAAATTCATACAAATTCATGCACGTTCGATCATACACATAAATATCATATAGATAGTTCAAACATGAAATTTATTTGCAGTGCACAACTTACACATTAAGCTTCTTTGTTTTTTTTATTGTGGGCCCATGTATGCTCCATGTGCATCCTTTGATCTCGAAGATTCTAACGCATCTGCGGAAAATTTAGAATTTGATTTGCATCTTGTTTCGGGAATGCCGGTCCAGGCTTAAGGTAGTCCTTGTAGAGCAGTCATCCTCCAGGACCCTATCCCGGTTGAAGACTCTTCTCCCTTTGATTGGACCCTTGAAGTGCAAAATATGCTCCACCTTCCTTCCATTTCCTTTTGGATGCTCATAATCATCATCGTGTCGGCATCTTCGTCCGACTCCGATGAATCGAATAAATTCTTTTGCATTAATTCATCAAGCTCCTTGTTTACATACTCCACATCCGACAAACCCTCCGAATCCATTGTTTTTCCTACAAAAAATAGAAAAAACTACTCGGACAATTTGTCGAATACATAGAGGGCAAGCCACAATTTGAGAATAGTCGGACATACCGTGGCCGCTTCCGGGGCGACGAGGCTGGCGAGGAGGAGTTCTATGGTAGTTGTGGCGGCTATGAGTGGTCGGGGCGGCGGAACTACATGAGGGCTTGCGCAGACAAGGGAGCAAGGAGAGAAAAAGGTTGGTCCGAAAGGTTGGGAATTTGGTGGAATTTATGATGGGTCTTATCTGTCGGATCCGACATGGCGAATGCTCCAAGCGCCCCATATCCGTCCAAGATATGACTTAGATATGGCCGACAACCCGGACATATAGAACTGATTTGAGGAGTTTGGCTAGATATGGCCGACAACCCGGACATATAGAACGATTCAGATTTAGCTAGCTAGCTAGCTCCTCCGTCGGAAGAGCCACGAGCGGGCACGTCGGCCGGGGCAGACGGCGAGCAGGCGCAGCGGCCAAGGTGAACGGGACGGACGGCGCACGAGCGTTGCAGGCGGGGCGGATGGCGGGCGGGCGGACATGAGCGAGCTATGAATGTTCCGATGGCAGTCGGGCTCCTATCAACTGTTTTTCACATATACAAGGCACCCTCGAGTTGGCTCCGAAATTCTTATTTTCACAGTTTTGGTAGGGATGTTTTCCCGCCTCTTAAAAAACTTTACATGCCAGAGTCTGTACGGGTTCTATTCGGATCGTTTTTTTTTTTTGTTCAGAATTGTAAATTGACGGTTATTTTATAATTTCATGCGTTCCAAAATTGATTGTGCCGTCGGCCCAGTCCGGCGGTAGATGCCCTCGTCCCCGTGAAGAAGTTGAAGGGCGGATAAAGTAGGAGGAGCAGCGGGCGTCGCGCTCGTGTAGCGCTCGGGTCGGAAACTCGTGATGTGCCGATCAGCCAATCATGCCCTCGCATCTTGACAGGAGAAATACGGCCTGGCCGCCGGCATCTGCTAGCTGTTTTCTGGTTGAATTCGCCATCCATACTGCCTTAATTTGATGCCGGTGCCGCTGCCAACCGCCGCATGCGTCTGCTCCCCGAACCCAGCTGCCCAATCCAAACCCAGCGACCTTCCCCCTCCCGTCCGTAGTACGATGAACAGCTAAACGCCACCGATCAGCAGCGGATTTTTTTTGTGTGTGTGGCTGTAGATCTTCGTCACGCCAAACAGCCGCGGCTGACGGAACTTCGACAGGCCAGCCTACGCCGCTCGTTTCCGGCGTCGTGGTCCTTCGGACAGCTCAGGGCTCAGGCAGAGGGTGGCGGCCAGAGGGCAATGAGATGATGCTCGCCCAGAAGCGTCCGCATCGTCATGTCCATAACAGCTTTGTGAAAAGCGCACTCAAGAGTCGGGTTTCTCGCATGATCAGACATAGGAGTAATTATCTTCCAACGCCAACTAGACAAATCGACAAGCATGGTGCGCCCAACCTCAACGCCTCATGATGCTGAAGAAATCAATGTGTGGCGATGGGCGGTGGCCGCGCGGTGCAGTGAGGTCGACGGGTGTGCCGTCGATCAGTTCAGATATGAAGAGCAAAAGTGGCATGGCATGGGGTGCTCGCCAGCTAAGTGGCAATGCTGCAGTCCCAGAGAAGCAAAATGCAGTTCCTGGCTCAGAAAACTGTGATATGATAGAAAGAAAGCCATGGCTACGGAGCCATGAGAATTCGACGGGTCAGAGCTTAGCCAACCTTGCTCTTTTCAACAGCAATACAGTAAGGAGGCCAGCAAAGTATCCCAAACGATACAACCAAGGGAACATTTCGCTTGCAGAAAAAACATTCAGCTGACATCAAGAGAGACGAATTGAAATCGCATTAACACTGACAAAGGTGGGGAGGTCAAGTGTTGTGCAAACTCAATTACTAGCATGCTAAACCTATTGATTTCTTCTGCCGGTTGCAACATATTTGGCTCGGATACTACTTAAGAAAGACGGAGTCTTCTACCAACGAACTGTCGACGCAGGTGAAGCCTCTCCTGATGAGAATTCGACAGTTAAACCAACCTAGGATAATCATCAGGTCATTACTGACTTATTTCATGCTGCAAGGAGGCCAGCAAAGCATACCGACCGATATAACCAAGGGAGCACTCGACAAATTGAAAACAGAAGTGCAGGCTCAACCAAATTACTCAAATGTCAGAACAATCTAGGATCTGAAAATTCAGGTTCACAAATGCAGGCTCAACCAAATTATTCGAATAAACCTATTGACGAATATGTTGCATCCAACAGCAACGGAATGTGACTGGAAGATAGAAGCTACCGAGGAGTCTCAATCGCAGGCGCAGTGAAGAAAGCAGAATGTGGAGAAGATCAGCTGCATGTCGGGGATAAGTTGAGAACGAAGAGCATGAAGAACGATGCCAACTGCCCAACTCAGCACCGCAGTCTAGAAAGGCTTGCACCTCCTGCAATACTTACCCAGGTATAATTGCCCCTCAGATGACCTCATCACCTGCCATGGGGCTCGGAGGCAAGGGTGCAGGCCATTCAACTAAATACCTTGCCGTCAGTCCCAGAGAAGCAAGCAGATGCAGCTTCTGGAGACTCGTCCTACAAAGAAATTTGCGCTTCTAATACTTCCAGAAGCTGCATTTATCAGCACAATCAAACCTTACCAATTTGCAAAAGAAGAAAGGTCGTTACTGCTTTTTGACGAGCAGCATCTTCAACGAAGAACACGCGACGCAGAGGGGTCGTCTGCAGGAACTAATACGCAGTTTGCATGGAGCAGGCGAGGGCGAAGGATGAACGAAGAGCGAAGAGCAAAACCATGAAGACATAACTCAAAGCCGTAGCCGGCCGACGCTTTTAAGCAGTGCAGGACGATGCCTTTTTAACACACAAAAGAAAAGCAGCTGGTCTTAGTTAATGATACACCCATCCATAAGTTTATCTAGAGATGAAATCAAACACAACCATAATACTGCGGTAAAAGTTATGGGGAACTTAACCAAACTCAAGCAGTCGATGACGGATGTTTCAAATGGGGGACATGACACTGTTCATAGCTGACGGGTATAGAGCAATATTTGCAACAGAACACTCTCCAGACATAACATAGAGCTTTAGCTCCTGCTGCGGCGATACCTGGAACCATAACAGTAACGATCCCATTACATACAGTAGAAATCATTCAAGGTAAATCAGTACCTGCCAAAAAAAAATACTGAGATATGCATTACCCATTGCCATAGGCAGGTGATTCGTCACGTCCACGGACTGGTGACCTGCTCACACTGCGCCCACGAGCCGGTGACACACTACGACGCCTTGGAGAGCGGCTGTAGCTTCTGTTTACAAAGCATATCTTATTTGTCAGATCTATTGTTCTTCATGTAATAATATAATATAGCTACTCCCTCCGTTCCATATTACTCGTCGCTGATTTAGTACAACCAGCGACGAGTAATATGGAACGGAGGGAGTACATATTTAGCATAAGAAGCAAATGTGACAAATAATAACAACAGATTTGGTATATAGGGTATTCTTTTTATGCGCTAAAACCTTCCGACTTGACTACTCAAAATGCAACTAGTGAAAAGTAGAGGTAGATAAATGTCAATGTCAAACAGAAGAAAATTGAGGAGCCTAATGTAGCCACAAGCTCGAGTAATTTTGCACCAAAAATAGCAATCCCAAATTGATCATACCTTTTCCCATGTAAATCTAGCAGTTGTATAATTGGCATCATTGAGCATACTTCACAAAGTACAAGAAAATAAACAAGAGAGCAAAGATGACCCAATTGCTATTCTTCCATGCAATTACAAACACCTTTTCCACGTCTACTACTCAACCATGAAGCAAGAAACGATACAGGAGGATTAACATCTAACAGGTAGAAATCAGAAGACAATGCCTGGAACTGCATGCAGCCATGTACCATAGCCACCCCCACAGCATATTTACACAACTATACCTAATGTCGCAAAATAATTTTGAAACAAATCAGGGAACACTACGAGAAGTAGATTGTTCATCATGTCATCAAAGGGTTCAAATTGCATATCTGCTAGTCACTAATCCTTTGCATGATCATGTGTGATAGTAATGAATCTACATATCAGCAAAGTATAACATGAACTTTTTTTAAGTATATATGTTTCATAACATTAACAACCTATGTTTTTAAAGCGTCCCTAGCCTAGGCGTCGAAGCGCTCCCCCTCCGCTTTGGAAAATCGACCGCTTCGGGCGCCTAGGCGTCCAAAGCGCCCGCCTAGGCGCCAAAGCGCCCCCCCTCCCTAAGGCGGTAAGGCGTCGCCTTAAAAACATAGTTAACAACTATTGTCTCAAAAAAAATATTAACAACTATTTGATTACCTTCTGCTATAGCTTGGACTCCTGCGGTACCTAGGGCTCCGACTGCGGCTACGGCTTCGACTCCTGCTGCGACGCCTTCCACTGCCTAGGCCCCCAGAACCAATCCTCAGACGGCACTCACGGGCAAAGTGACCAGATTCGCCACACTCATAACACTTCATCTCAGATCCACCAGATCGATCACGACCACCACGACCACTGCTGGCATTACGAGACAGCTCAACTCTCCAACCATTCTTGCCTGCAGATGCAAAAGACATGGTCATGGATATGCAAATGTATCATTACGGCATAACAGAGCCAAAAGGAGACATCAAATCCTACGAAGTACAAATAATATCATTGCAAAACTTCGAACAAACTCAGTGAACAAAATCAAATGTCACAAAGACCCATGTGATATGATGGACATTCTCTGTTAACTGAATAAAACAGCATATGGAAACATTAACAAACAATGTTACAATATACAACAGAATAAGGAAGATTTCCATGTACATCTTTAATTGTATCTCTGATGGAGCACGTTCACACAAAACAACTGGTCACATACCATCTAAATCTTTAATTGCATCCTGAGCATCCCTCCTGTCATCAAAATCAACAAATGCAAAACCAGGTGGCTTCCTTGCAACCCATACACTGCGACGACAAAATAAAATTAAGCAAACTGTATCAGCATCCAGCAAATTGTATCAGCACGGGCAGAAAGTAACAAATTTATTAATGCAAAGGGTAGATAACCATGCTTAGGTGATGTGTTTATCAAAAGCATCGTCAAGAAAATAAGCAATTCTAGAGGTACTTCAGGGCTTGTCCCAGTGGGCCGGAACAGAGAATTCAGATTCTGTAAATTGGCCACATATTTTGCTGTAAATTAAAATATTTTTGACATGTATCCAACTCCAGTATATGCAGCTGATGACAAGATTACACAAGGTAGAGTTCGCCGAGGGACGTCCATAGATTCAACTTTTATGATAAGCAAAAATGCATCCATAGACGGACACCAGAATTATATACACGAATTGTAGCATGACAACAAAAATCTCCATAAAAAAAAACAATACTAGCGGATAGGCAATTCACGGATATGCATAAGCAGCTAGAATTCCAGAACCTGCATAATCCAAGCATCATTTGCTACCTGAAAACTCAATTGTAATTAAAAAAACATGCCAATGCGCAAACTCATCTATCCCCAAATCATGATATCGTTCCCTGAAAACTGTCGGCCGTTCCGCCATGGATTATGGCTCATCCTCCGCCCATGATTCCCACCGCCTAAACGTGCAATTCAAGCGGAAGCAGGGACAACCGCAGAGAATCCAGAACAAAGGCGGATGACTAACCTCCGGAGAACCCCGAACACGCGGAACTCGTCCTCGAGCTCCCGGGCCGTCACAGCAGGGTCCAGGCTCCCGACGTACACGCGCGCCATCGCAGCCGACCACCTACCTGTCGACAACACCGAGAGCCATTAGATTTCGCCGAAGCGGGCGGAAGATCGAACAGGCCGACGCAGCAATCGAGCCGAAAGCGGCAGATCTGGAGCTCGCGGCTGAGCCCAGCTCTGGTATCTACGCCGCGGGGACGAGCGAGCGGGAGAGATTAGATCTAGGGTTTCGGGGAGCTCGAGAGGGGGGCGGTCGCGCACCTTCTCCGGTCTGCCTGCAGGGACGCGACGCCGGCGGAGGGCGGACGGCGGCCGGGGCGGCGAGTGGGTGAGGAGGAGGAGGCGGACGGCGACGCGGCGAGTGGACGGGGAAGAAGCACGGCGACGCACGGGGTGATCGGGAGGGGAGGTGGGGCTGCGCGAGACGAAAGGGATATATTGCTACTCGGGTTTGGGCGCTGGGCTCGCCTGCGTCGGATTCCTTCTGGAAACCACGGGCGCTTTCGTGCCACTGGGCTTGCCCTGGATTGGGCTATGAGCGGGGCGGAGCGGCGGGAGGCTCCGCCAGAAAAGCCTCACCCGAATGGACTGGCCAATTCTACGGCCCGTTTGACCCTATTAAAAAATGTTCATCATTGTCAAAATAAAAATTCTCTTTTTTTGAGCCAACTGCATCCTTTATTAAACGTTCAAACACATAGGGATATAGATGATATCGGGCAAGCTAGTAAGCCACACATGGCGCCCTGAGCTAAGGGAAGCAGCTGCCTTTGCTAAGGCATGGGCCTCCCCATTATGTTTCCTACTTTCATGAATAAATTTTACATCATGGAATAGCCTCCTCTGGTGCTTTATATCTTGCAAGATAGCAAAATATCGGTATGGAACTTCAGCATCTATGTTGGTCACCACTTCTAGACAGTCTGACGCGACACAAATAGATTGAACTTGCAGGTCCATAGCGAGCAAAAGTGCCTCACTGCATGCTTGTGCTTCAAGAACTGAGGGGTCAAGGAGACCTTCGTGTATAATGGCGGATGCACCGAGAAACGTGCCTCGCTTGTCTCTGCAGATCACCGCTGAGGCTGCCTGGTCGCCGATCTTCGAGAAACTGCCATCGACATTCATCTTGACCTCATGACTGACGAGCGGAAGCCACAGGCTAGGCTGTGCCCGCTCATTTGCATTTCCTATATTCACATGCAGGTCCCTGGAATTCGCATGTAGGACCCTGGAATTTGCATGCGGGTCCTTAGGCTGCGTCTTCCTCTCGGGAATCATCTCCAGATCGGCCAAAAATTTGTCGATGAAGACATGAGTGCTCAGCGGGCTTTGGAACTGGTTGTCGTGGATAGCTCGACGTCTCGCCCACCAAATAGCCCACATTGTTACGAGCACACGTGTTATTTCCGCCGAGGGTAAAGTATCAACCAACCATAGCATCCATAGCTTAGCATCCTCCGATCTATTTGATATGATAGTCTCTGTAAGATCTTCATCTGCAAGTGCCCAAACGTACCGAGCCATGCGGCAGTTGAAATCATTTGCCTCATGACATATTGAGCACTCCGCCGAATCAGCCATGCTTCGGTGGTGGCGCACAGCACCTGTCGGGATCGAAGTCTAGGATAGTCTCCAAGTGAAGACTCTGACTTTTGAAGGGACCGGAGCTCCCCATAGCCGGGCCCATGACCGGCGGTCCGTCTCACCATTGGAATGACCCTCGTTTTGTTCCAGCCAATCCGTTCGTTGCTGCTTAGTAGATGACAACAGCCTGTACGCAGACTGTACGGTGAAAATGCCCTTCCGTTCATAATACCATGACCACCCTAGAGCTTAGAGGGATATTCAAGATTGCTTCCTTGTCCATCGCATAGAAGTGCTCCTCAAGTGCAACCCCGTCCCAAGTAAGGGTAGTCGGATTAATGATCTCTGTAACTTTTTGCGGAGGGTTTGAGGATTTTGGGAAAACTGGACGAAGCTTGAAGTCCCGTGGGATCCAGTTGTCGAGCCAGATATGTGTGTCCTTGCCCGAGCCAATCCGCTTTACTAGCCCCAGTTTAAGTGTATCCCTCCCTTCGACTATTGAACGCCAAACCTGTGACGGATTCTTGCCCACCTCAGCTTCAAGAATTGAGGACGTGGGGTAGTAGACAACCTTCAATATCCTGGCACTGAGGGAGTTGGGTTCCTGAAGAAGGCGCCAGGCTTGTCGAGCAAGCAGGGCCAAGTTAAAAAGCTCAATATCGCGAAACCCCATACCTCCCATGAATTTGGGATGTGACATCACTTCCCATGAGACCTAGACGGTCTTTCTTTCACCATTCTTTGATGCCCACCAGAACTTTCGCAAAAGACCATTGATATGCTGACACAAGCCCCGTGGCAGCTTGAAACAAGCCATGGAATACGTGGGAATTGCTTGAGCAACAGATTTGATGAGCACTTCCTTACCTCCAACTGAAAGTGCTTTTTCCATCCAGCCCTGGACTTGCTTCCAAATCCTTTCTTTGAGATAATTGAAAGACCCCTCCTTTTCCCTCCCCACGCCAGCAGGGAGACCAACGTATTTGTCAGACAACTTCTCATCCTGGACTGCAAGAATCTGTTTAACCTCCTACCTCAAGCTTTCCGAGCAGCCCTTGCTGAAGAATATTGAGGATTTGTCCTTGTTAATTCGCTGCCCAGAAGCGGCGCAATATTTCTGCAGTAGGAGTGTTGGGGAACGTAGTAATTTCAAGAAAATTCCTACGCACACGCAAGATCATGGTGATGCATAGCAACGAGAGGGGAGAGTGTTGTCTACGTACCCTCGTAGACCGTAAGCGGAAGCATTATAACAACGCGGTTGATGTTGTCGTACGTCTTCACGATCGGCCGATCCTCAGCACAGAACGTACAGCACCTCCGCGTTCAGCACACGTTCAGCTCGGTGACGTCCCGCGAGCTCATGATCCAATAGAGCTTCCGGGAAGAGCTTCATTAGCACGACGGCGTGGTGACGGTGATGATGATGCTACCGACGCAGGGCTTCGCCTAAGCACCGCTACGATATGACCGAGGTGGATTATGGTGGAGGGGGCACCGCACACGGCTAAGAGATCAATGATCAATTGTTGTGTCCATGGGGTGCCCCCTGCCCCCGTATATAAAGGAGCTAGGGGGAGGCGGACGGCTAAGGAGGAGGGCACGCCAAGGGGGGAGTCCTACTCCCACCGGGAGTAGGACTCCTCCTTTCCTAGTAGGAGTAGGAGAAGGGAAGGAAGGGAGAGAGGAAGAGAAGGAAAGGGGGGCGCCGCCCCCCCTCCTTGTCCAATTCGGACTAAAGAGGGAGGGGGCGCGCGGCTGCCCTTGGCCGCCCCTCCTCTTCTCCCACTAGGGCCCATTAGGCCCAATATACTCCCCGGGGGGTTCCGGTAACCCCCGGTACTCTGGTATATGCCTGAAACCTCCCGAAACACTTCCGGTGTCCGAACATAGTCGTCCAATATATCGATATTTACGCTCGACCATTTCGAGACTCCTCGTCATGTCCGTGATCATATCCGGGACTCCGAACTACCCTCGGTACATCAAAACACAAAAACTCATAATACCGATCGTCACCGAACTTTAAGCGTGCGGACCCTACGGGTTCGAGAAATATGTAGACATGAACGAGACACGTCTCCAGCCAATAACCAATAGCGGAACCTAGATGCTCATATTGGTTCATACATATTCTACGAAGATCTTTATCGGTCAAACCGCATAACAATGTACGTTGTTCCCTTTGTCATCGGTAAGCTACTTGCCCGAGATTCGATCGTCGGTATCTTAATACCTAGCTCAATTTCGTTACCAGCAAGTCTCTTTACTCGTTCTATAGTGCATCATCCTGTAACTAACTCATTAGTCACATTGCTTGCAAGGCTTATAGTGACATGCATTACCGAGAGAGCCTAGAGATACCTCTCCAACAATCGGAGTGACAAATCCTATTCTTGATCTATGCCAACTCAACAAACACCATTGGAGACACCTGTAGAGCACCTTTATAATCACCCAGTTATGTTGTAACGTTTGGTAGCACACAAAGTGTTCTTATGGTATTCGGGAGTTGCATAATCTCATAGTCATAGGAACATGTATAAGTCATGGAGAAAGCAATAACAATAAACTAAACGATCAAGTGCTAAGCTAACAAAATGGGTCAAGTCAATCACATCATTCTCCTAATGATGTGATCCCATTAATCAAATGACAACTCATGCCTATGGCTAGGAAACTCAACCATCTTTGATCAACGAGCTAGTCAAGTAGAGGCATACTAGTGACACTATGTTTGTCTATGTATTCACACATGTATTATGGTTCCGGTTAATACAATTCTAGCATGAATAATAAACATTTATCATGATATGAGGAAATAAATAATAACTTTATTATTGCCTCTAGGGCATATTTCCTTCAGTCTCCCACTTGCACTAGAGTCAATAATCTAGATTACACAGTAATGATTCTAACACCCATGGAGTCTTGGTGCTGATCATGTTTTGCTCGTGGAAGAGGCTTAGTCAACGGGTCTGCAACATTCAGATCCGTATGTATATTGCAAATCTCTATGTCTCCCACCTGGACTTGATCCCGGATGGAATTGAAGCGTCTCTTGATGTGCTTGGTTCTCTTATGAAATATGGATTCCTTTGCCAAGGCAATTGCACCAGTATTGTCACAAAAGATTTTCATTGGACCCGATGCACTAGGTATGACACCTAGATCGGATATGAACTCCTTCATCCAGATTCCTTCATTTGCTGCTTTCGAAGCAGCTATGTACTCCGCTTCACGCGTAGATCCCGCCACGACGCTTTGTTTAGAACTACACCAACTAACAGCTCCACCGTTCAATATAAACACGTATCCGGTTTGCGATTTAGAATCGTCCAGATCAGTGTCAAAGCTTGCATCGATGTAACCATTTACGACGAGCTCTTTGTCACCTCCATAAACGAGAAACATATCCTTAGTCCTCTTTAGGTACTTTAGGATGTTCTTGACCGTTG